TATTGCTATCTATATTTGTAAATAACCTTATAGACTCTATCGATCTACCCTAGGTCTCCATTCAAAGTTCCATGGTAAGTTGGCGGACTTCCCTGGTACGAGTAAGGCAATGACCGTGAAACGAAAGTGTGGCGGTAGCGTAATGTCCAAAAAGTGATCGAAAGAGAGAGGCATGCCAATGGAGAACAACCAACGACGGCACATTGACGACGAGGTAAGGTAGGTAGGCTTCTTCCTCCCAGATATCTGAAACGTCGAAAGGCACCCTTTTCTCTATATTCTTTTCTTCTTCTCCAGCACGGCTCAAGGATCTCGAACAATAACCGAGGGCAACAAGAAGAAGATTGGGAGCTGCGCCTATCAATTAAATCCAGTAAATTGATTGCATTGAAAGGGATCGCAAACATGCAGGTTGCGCCCACCATGTGCATCCTGTCTAATTTTGTTAACCGTTTCTCAATCTACACTATTTCTTAACAAACTCTACATGTTTCCCAATACACAGACAACTTTCACATTTACCAGATGAGCTACCGTCGGGATCCCTGAGATGTAGTAGGCGTGGCTGCGACTTCAACTAAACGTGGCGGTGGCTGTGCTTTTGGTGAGATATTTTCATTTTGACACAATTGTGGTCATGTCTCTGTCCACCATAGAACAAGATGGCAGTTGTCTCAAACTGAAATATCCCACGAGTAACCCATTCTATGCACGTCAAATTCCACGCCTGCTCCGACTAAGGGATAAGGAGTGTACACATTGGCGAAAACCGAGAACATCACCATTTCATGAACTAAGGAAAGGCAGATGAGACCATCCATCCCCCATATGTGGCGATTTTTTCTCCATTTTGGAAGGAACCGTCTATCAATCTGACCCCCTACAGCACGACTTGGTGGTCACATCCAGTCTTACCTTGCTTTCCGCGAACGCTTCGAAATGGGGCTTCTTGCTCTGAGTATATGTAAAAATCACAGCATGCTGCGGGAACATGCTAAATCTGAAAGAGCTCTAGATACAAATGTTATGCTGCCCAGTTAGTACATACATACGTGTTTCCTGTGAACCACAACCCATGCAGTCATGTGGTAATGGTAGGCAACTACGCAACACAAATAACCAGAGCCTTTTGTGCACGGGGATAGTAGTAGGCAGCAGCAAGCTCACTACTGCGCGCAATTCCAAGCACGCATCGTCTCCACCCAGGTGAAACCAACCTTCCAATACGGAGCCATTATCAGTACTGTTCCTGGGGCTTGAATACTGGCATCCACATCGGATGGCTCCCGCAAGTCATTGTTTGAACCATATCGCAAAGGACCACTAAACTTAGGGCATGCCGGGATACGTTGGGCATCCACACTTAAAGGCAGTTGGCACGATAATTTGGTACTCGGCCTAAAATGCTAGCAGGGCGCTATATAGTGGGGAAAATGGCGAAAGGAGTGAAACGGTCAAAATCCTGCGAAGAAAAAGCCTTCGTTCTCAATGACTCAAAAATCAATTTCGGACGAGTTTCCCATAGGCATCTTGCCAATAACCGCTACCGAAGATACGGCTGCATGTGTGTACTCATATATCCATGCAGCTTCATACCAATCCCTTCGCTTCATAATTTGCTTAGCAAATGAATGAATACGAGCGTCAGGAACGGTCGTCCATTTGTGGGCGGGCGGGCGTGGCGGGCGTTTGGGTCGTGTAGCTTGATAGGGTACCTTTCCTTGGGAAGGGCGCTAGACAGCGCCTTCTCAGAGACGCGGAATTCCGTCCTGCCAGGCGTATTAATCCTACTCGTCTTTGGGGATTTATCGTGCCAAGTGCCTTTAAAGACAGTTGGCACGACAACTTGGTACTCGGTGTGAAATTGTAGCAGGGGTGCTATATAGTGGGGAAAATGGAGAAAACGAAGTGAAACTGTCAAAAAAGAGAAGCTTTCGCTCTTTATGACTCAAAAAGCAATTTTGGACGAGTTTCCCGTTGGCATGATGCCAGTAAGTGCTGCGATCGTCCAATTGTGGACGAGCGGGCGTGTTGGGCATTCGGGTCGGTATGTTGTTTGTGGCTTGATAAGGCCTTATAAGGGTACCTCCCTTGAAAAACGCGCTACGCAACGCCTGATCAGGGTAGCGAAATTCCGCTCTGTCAGGCGTATTAACACATTGGCGAAAAGGCGACTTTTCGCGTGTCTGCCGCGTGGGACCAAGCAGTTTTTTCCTATTTTCGAAGAATGCGCGTAAATGCCAGGACGCTTGTACACCAAAACAATTGAAGAAGTACCAGAACTCAATGCAGAAGCTAATAAGGCTTCGCTATTTTTGATCACTTTCAAGATACACCACTTTACGAAACACTTCCACTTCAATCACATGAAGCGTGGAAGCCCGCAAAAACGAATATTTTCGCTCCAGATGTCGTAAATTGGATTCGATCTAGCTCGTAGGCTTCGGGGGGGCCTAGGTTGGATCGGGAAGTTGGAGTCGCGTTATCGGGCTATAGCGATGGAAGCTAATGTGGTAGGAGGTGGAATGCGCGGGTCAGTGTTTTGGTGGGTGGAGGTCGATAACGCGGCGGAAAATTTATGCGTTTTTTTTGCCCTGGAGGCAATCACTGTCTGTTCGTCTCGCGGTCAATAAAATACCTGCAGGGATGTGGAGCAACACACTGCAGCTGTTTGCGAGCTACCGATAGAGTTCTACAATAGCTTCCGCTGGGATGATACTACTCTCGCTCTCACACGATACTTCGAAAGCGTACTGCAAGGAAGGGTTTTGGTTACGGGGCAGTGCGCATCGCGAGGCAGCGAGGACGCAATGTCCGCGGAGGCGCGGCTAAGAAAGTGTGGGCGGTCGTGGCAGCCAGGGAGAGCAGATGGTCGTGCTCTGGCATTGTTGGTTTTAGTCGCTGAGCGTGAGCCAATTGGCTTAGGCCGTGGCGCGAGTGCGTTGAGCGCCTGGCACATCGTTTTATGCGTGGCAACTGGCCTTGCAAGAGGTCGTTCATTTTTACGTGGTAATGGAGCTCGTATTTGCACTTCAGAGGATAGTGCCTTTTTACTTGTTGATGCTTTTCCTGGTTGAATTGTCTTAGGCCCATTTTAAGGTCGTGTGTTGGGCTGGTGTTAATATTGGCTCACATGTTTGTGGGTCCTTCTTCGCCGCGGCTTTGACTTGTTATAATATCAGTGGAATTATTGTGCGCTTGTTCGGAAATGAAAACTTCAGTAATATGGGTTCGTTATGTGGGGAAATTGGAAATTAGGATATAATTCAAGATGGTCAGGGATGAGGAATGGTATGAATGGGTGCGGACTAGGGGGAGTGGGGACCGGGTTTGGCAGGTGGGGGGGGGGTTGGGCGTATTGCGAGCGAGAGAGAGCGCCTCTATCCGTGCGCGATGATGTGTGGGGCGTGCGCGGTGGAGTGGGTGGAGATGTGCTCGCGTGGAGAGGAATCGTGAGTTGCCCTGAACAGTCAAACGCGCACCTGTTTGCTCTAGCGTGTAAGATTTGTCTACGGCAATCTATTTGAGGACGAGGCCCCATTTTTTCGTTTCCGCAATTTTCTACCGTGTTGCCAAAAAGCGGCTGGATGCTGGTCAAGAGATGCCGAGTTTGGCAATACTTAGAAGCCTAATTCGACGGGCGCCGGCCCCCTTTCCGCTCACATTGTTTATCAAGCTGTCAGCATCTATGCTACGCGGGTGCTGGGGCGAAATGCAATGGCATTCTTTGGGCGACGGGTCCAGGATAAATCTATCTTGCGCACAGTCTCCGCGACGTTGGGCGGGGTCGTTTCTCCTTATTTGGGTTATGCCGTGCTACCGGAAGCGCATTCGGGTTTCCAATGGACCAGTGACATCGTTAACCATTTAATTGCTATTTTTTGTTGTACAATTGTAATGTTGTCCCATCTTGTCGACCTGGAAACACCTCATCACCATCATCTACCGGACGCGCCGTCGCACGCGCGACTTCTACAGCGTCGCGAATTACGATTGTCTTGCCCCCTATTTTCCGACGGCCGGGATGCTACATCAATAGAATCTCCTGAGTCTTAAGCCCGCGAAGCCGCCGCGCTCCTTTAGGTAAAGGAATAAATACAAGTCGAGACGGAGCACCATTAGTGAGTGATTCATTACTGGCATAGCAAAAAAAACGTAGAACTCCACTTGAATAAGCGACAGATCACAGTGAAATATAGAAATTGCAAACGTATAAACATAGCTCATCAATGTCAACCCTGCATCATCGATATAGCAGCCTTAGTAAATATTAATGCATAGTTCCTACTGAAAGAGAATACAAGTCATAAATTCGTATAGATCAAATTCAAAATTCATAAATATATCTTAAAAATAAATATCTACAGAAGAGGATATATACGCTCAAGAGAATTCGCTGTCATACCAACGGGACATGGCTAGGGGAAGGAGTACAACCGTCTATGACAGATACGAAAAAAACGACGAATAAGCTCATTCAGGGGACTAAACCAACGAAGAAATAACAAGAAAGGAAACAAAACCACGGATAACAATGTACAAGTGTTGAACGAGGTCAATGTATGAGAGGGACCCTGCAGAATTCGAATTCGATACGACGATTATGAATGCCCATCAGGGGTAGAATAAGAGGTTCAGCGCTACGAGGCTCAAAATGCTACCCCTAAAATGCAAGGAGGATTTTTACTAGAGGCCATGCCACTTGGTTCAGTCGCTATCGCCATCATCTGAGTAAGCATAGTTGGCATCTCTTCTCATCAAAGGACTGGCGTCATCAGTCCGTCGTTGTCGTGTGGTCTGCTGTTGATACGGGGCCGTTCGAGTCAACGACGACACCCGGTTAGACTGGCCGCGTCCACCAGCGCCAGATGAACCTGAAAACCTCTTATATGCAAATGCTCTGGTGTGTTTCCTGATGAATTAAATTTTGCAGAGAGGAACAGACGAGTACGTGCATGGGAGAGAAACCCAAATATAACACCTTCCGAAACTGGTGTTCACGAAAACAACATGGGTCCCATGAACTGATATAGCCCTTCCTTACAGAAGGTTACGGATCCCTACCCTGCAATGAGAACCGCCCCACAATCAGTCATAAAATGAGTAAAACAAAAGAAATCTACGAAACTGTAATGTGCACTGTTTGTTAAAATAGCAACACAAATTACCTTGACTATGGCTAGGAACGGAATCTGGAAGCAATATGCTCTCCTATAAAATCGGCGCTAATGTAGTTGGGGAGGGGGGAGGGGGTTAGTAGTGCCTTGATGTCCCTTCTCCGGAGGCCGTGACCATACTTCGCGATTCAGTCGCTGCGACTGACAGAGCTCCACCCCTAATCTGGCTGCAGTAAGGTCAAAAAAATTCTATCCTGAATAGGATCGTTATTGTAGCGCTCCAATGATTACTGATGGAACGTAGTCGTCCCTGAACACGGCACGTCCCGCCGTTCGGCGAGATTTTCAAAAAATACAACCCCCTCAATTTCATCCTCTGCTACGATCACCCCTCCCCCAACCTCCAACTTTTTCCAGCCTCCTACCAAGAGCTTCCAGTTCTTCCCCAAAACTTACTATCAAAAAACCTTCTCACACCAAATACTACCTCTCTGTTCAGCGACCCAATACGACCCCGCATCCGCTGGGGATGCCCCTACATAGGACGCGCCTTGTTCCTAATCGCGCAACTGAACGCTTGCGTCGAGAACTACGACGCGGTCTGATCAAGGAATGGCTCTTAAAAACAGGCCCACTCGCTGAAGGATAGCCTCGCAAAAAGGCATAGCCTCTGCTAAGCCGAATCAGTGTGGCGAGAGAGATGAAAGGCACTGACGAGTGCCCCGCCCCAACTGTGACGGCTTGAAGAAATTCTTAAAAGAGCCTTTAGGAACAGTTGTGGTACTGGGCTGCTCTAGTCGCAAATGGTTAGCGTTTCAGAGAGCAAAGAAATAACATGAAATAGCTCACGCCCGTAAGTCAATTTTCAACAGAATTCTAACTGTGAACTCACCGCTTTGGGAGCTGGCACTTGCCCGTTGATTGTGCAAGATCGAATGCGCTGGGCTGACAACAGACCATGACTGAAGGCGGCTGTGAATCTCCGAGAACGTCGGTCGCCGATCCGGATTCGCATTCCAACACTCGATCATCAAACTAAATTACAGAGGCTCTTATGAGGCCGGAACAAATGCTCCTATGAAACTTACCCATAGATATTCGTTGGGCAGTTCTGTGGGACATTCGAGCAGGTGTCGATTGGCAATCAGTTCGATGACAGTCTGATTCGAAGCAGATCCGTACGGTTGACGACCATAACTCCATATCTCCCACAGGGTCACGCCAAACGACCACACGTCAGATGCTTCGCTAAACCGACCCTGTTCGATTGCCTCTTTCGCCATCCATCTCACCGGCATCCATGAGCGATGAACCATCTAGAAACTACAGAATCAGCCCTGCAGTAGACGGACTTACTTATGGAAAAGATGAAACGGTGAATTTTTTAGGGATCACTCGCAAGATAATCAAAACAAGAATAGTTTCACGTATCTGACAAACATTTGCGTAGTCCTTTTAATTCATGCATTAAAGAAAGTTAAGGCCGAATTAACGACTTCTTCCAACTGTTTGCTACGTTTGAAATTTTTGTTGACATCTTTCGATTTGCAGCTCCAGGCCTCGCCAATGCCAGGAATCAAGAGCTAGCAAACTAGCGAATTCC